TTTTTTAAGCTTTGTTAAGATTTATCTGGAATCAGTTCAAAAATTAAATTTGAGACAATATTTTTAATTATTTTGTTGGGTGTGAAGCAGTATTGAGAATGAGATTGTCTGGTTCTGCAACTTGGGGAAGAAGGAGATGGGGGTGGGGTGGGGGGTTGTAGTTTTGTTTTTTATTTTTAAATTTTTTGATTTAACAGAGGAAATGTATTATGTTCAAAATGCTCTTAACTTATTAGGAGAAAATTATTAGATTTTTTATTTCGTGGTCAACTGACGGTTTTGGGGTCAAACTAACGGAATCTGTCAATTTGGATTGAAGGTGCGATTTTTTTAAAGATTCGGTACCGTGGGTGGTATAAATTAAAGGTTTGAACAAAGTTCGCAAATAACTGAAAAGTTTGATACCTCGATTGCAATTTTCCCTTTTTTTAATGTTAAGCTTGTATACGAGAATAGTAAAACGTCCATTTTAATTGCAACGGTCGTAAATATATGATCAAATTTAGAAGTAATATTAATTAGGAGTAAACGCATGCCTTTTTTCTCCTGAATACGCTAACCTAGTAATTAATTGACGCGGTGACATTTCAAGTTTTCAACGCTCACTCTGTCTCTCTCACAGAAAAGGTTAAATTAATTTATGTTATAAAGAAATCTTGAGGCTGTATCTGTAAATATCAACTTTAAGGAGTATCCCAAGTTTTAATCATTTTGGGATTTTGAACATTAATCTTAATCTAATTTACGTCCATTTTATCAACAAGCTTGTGATCAGGGCCGACCTTTATATTTTGGGGGCCATATGCAAACTTCAAATATGTGATCCATTCGAATATTAAGCTCATGTTTAATAGAAATTAAAATAAAAAAATTTTTAGATTTTAATAAAAGTTGATGAAACGTGTGTTTAAAAAAGGAAAATAATAATAATAAATGGATCGAATAAATCTCAAATCAGATTACATAACACATAGAGAAGCGTCGGTTTAATTAAAGCATTAATCAATGTAATAACACTGAAAAACTAAAAAAAAAGGGACAGATAAAATGAAATGCAAGAATCTAGAGAGAGAAATAAATACCAGTACCTTTATCTGCTTCTTGAGTAAGTGTATGATCCACCATAATGGTGAAAAAGTAACGAACGTAAATTTTGAAAGAGAAAAGCGATCTTTTGTTTCTTGTTAAGAAAAAAGTAAAACGATGGTTGAGAAGATAAATGATCAAATTAATTATATCTATTTATGTGATAAATGTATGTAATAAATTTTATGCAATTTATATGATTTTTTAAGAAATGTTTGTATTTTCAAATTTTGTTGCTTTTTTGTATTTACATGTGATAATTCTGATTTAAAGAATTTCGTAATCATAATTTTCGATTTTCTTCAACCAGTTAATTAACCTTACGTAATTTGGGGCACTCATCAAAGTGGAGCCGTAGGCGATCCGGCATACGCCACCTATATAGTCAGGTTGACCTTGCTTGTGATTTAAATTTTATTTAATTTTATGTATGATATTGCTAAGTTCCAAAAACTCACTTTCTCCAAAGTCGTTTTCTACTATGTAATTCAAAGTCGTTTTCAACTATGTATTATTCAATAAAATGATTTTGCACGTTTTCTATATGAATAATGCTATTTATCGATATAATGATGGAATATTGATGATGTGACCATTTATCTGGAATAATGAGATTGAACAATTCAATTTTTATGAAAGCTGTAAGAGAGAGAAATGTGAGGGATAATAAGTTGTTTTATCACCGATATTTCATCATTATGATGATAAATAACGTTACTATTTCTCCATAACTTTGTTATACTCTCCAAAATAGTTACTTTTTACAAAATCTATTCTGATAAATATCTACACGACATGGTTTAAATATTCATGTAAAACTTGATTCCCTGTTGACAATTATTATGTATTCATGTCAACGTGAATCGTATACTGGGGACGAGCATTTTAAATTGCATTTAATATGTAACACTAATTATAAAATTGCTTTCTACCTGAGGATTCTAGCAAGTTGATCAGAGCATCCTTCCTTCCTCCCTCTTTACCAGCATAAATTCAGCCATTTGGCTTTGCTCTTGCCTAGCCCTCCAACTAAAAGTGTGAACCTATGGCTGAGATATCAGAAGCTGGTGGAAGCCTGCAATCTACAGCTTTGAACATAAAAGATGATGATTGCTTGACAATCTCTTCACAAAGACTCGAATTTATACATTTTATGCAAAAGGTTGTCTCCCTAACCGTTTAAGCGTTGATACTACGTTACACAGTTCGACTGAGACAATTCTACTGTTCTATTATACTCCATGACATTTATATATGTTGAATGCATGCAGTTGATAGCTGAGTTTATGGGCACGTACTTGATGCTGTTTGCCGGTTTTGCGGCTGGGGTGGTGAACAGGGATAAAGAGGACGCGCTAACATTTCCAGGAGTAGCAATATTGTGGGGATTGGATGTGATGGTCATGATTTACACTGTTGGGCATATCTCTGGTGCACATTTCAACCCTGCTGTTACCATTGCTTTTGCCGCCTGCAAGAGGTTTGCATGGAAACATGTAATGTATACAAACCATCTCTTGATCATCGACTGGAACTTCAAATTTTACTTTCAACTGGTGAACTAAGATAATTTCGGCCGATTCCTTCCAATGCCATTTGCTAAGTTTTGATATGCCATAAATGATAAAATTTTAACTTATTCTAGTCTAACGTACCAAACATGATACTTTAACTAAAATTGTAAGTTTTTTTTTGCAGGTACCAGCCTATATCACAGTTCAGTTGCTTGCCTCAACACTAGCAAGTGCTACACTTGTACTAATATTTGACAGAGAAAAAGGTCACGTTGTTGGTACCTTTCCAATTGGCTCGAATAAGCAGTCTTTAGAAGTTGAGTTCATAATCACATTCTACCTGATGTTTGCCGTAAGGGGTGTTGCCACTGATGATCGAGCAGTAATTAGTTTTACTTCTGCACCTTTTCATTATGTATTTATTATCAACTCCTCTTGTTTGATAATACGACTAGTAGATCAAATTCACTGTTATAATTATAAATTTTATTTGTTTACAGAAAGGGGAACTCGCTGGGCTTACATTAGGAGCTACTGTAACAATTAATACATTATTTGCAGGGTATTGATCTTACACGGTTTGGAGTTCTATTTTTTGATGACCAAATCGACATTTTCATCATAAACACCTACGTGAAGGCTGAGTACAAGGGTCCTTAGGACAAGGCTTCTGTTTTTGCTTGTGCTTATGCCAGCTTCCTTTATAAAATTTTCTAGCAAATTATTCAAACATATTTTAAAAAAACCTCTTATTTTCTGAAGCAGTTTTGACTTTTAAAAAGTCACGTCAAATGAATCATAAATCTTCTTTAAATATTTAGTAGCAGTCAAATGAATTCTACCTTTTACCTTTTCCCGATACCATATTGAATGCTCAATTTGAGCATATTTGGTTGTACCTAAAAGTCCGTCAATTTTATTTTTAAGTTACGTTTTTGCTAAGGATAATTTCCATATTTACTTATTTTACAAAAAAAGATTTACTTTATTGTAACAGTATAAATATCCTTAACACAGTACATATGCAAAGAACTGGCAATTTACTGATTAGTATTCGGTTGGGATTCTTTGATGACAGGCCAATTTCTGGGGCATCAATGAACCCGGCAAGAAGTTTGGGACCAGCCATGGTGTTCAATCAATACAAGGGAATATGGATCTACATAGTTGGCCCTATAACAAGAGCCATAGCAGGCGCTTGGTTCTACGATGTAATTAGGTTAACAGACAAACCTTGTCATGGAATCATCAGGAATAAATCTTTCCAGGGAAGTTCAGCAAATGTTACTTCAAGTGACCAATAATCTTGGTTGTGTAGGGAAAAAAACACTGTTGTGACCAAATTTCATGTTGGTCGCTGAACTTCATTTCATTTCAGAGTGATCATTTTGGAATGAAATAAAATTTATGTACTATTAATAAATTCCGAGTTAAGTTCTGTCATGAACTATGTGTTTTGAATAAAACTATTTCAATTGTAGTGTGTCATATTGTAAGTACTCATTTCTTGAATCAATCTTCAACATTATCTATGTTCAGATTATAAAAAGACACTCGCGCTTTTTGATCCCTGTTGCCCAGTTTCTAAACTATTTGCTTGACCCCAGTTTTTCATCTCTTGTTCAGATATTATTTTTATTTTTTAAGTAGCCAGGGCAATATTAAAGATAATTTTACACGTTTCTTAAGGAAATGGACTTAATCCATACTTGTCATCACGCATGAAATGCTACCGTTCAGTAGGTTTATTGCTGAACCCGTCTTCATTCATGCATCACAATTCCAGCAATGACATTAGCGTGTTCAGTAGAGATTAAAATCAGATTAAAATTGAAAAATTAGCCGTTATTGTTGACTTTTATTTGACGAGTGGGACCCAATAACGACTATATTTTCAATTTTAATTGGATTTTAAGAACGACCGAACACGCTAACATCACAATCTAGAATTGACATACATGACCTAGTACCAAGCTTGGCACTCCAATAGGGCAGTGTACTTCAACCCAATGTTATAAATTACTTAATACGCGGTTGAGCATCAAGCATTACAAACATATGTGTAATTATACGTTTTATAATATTTAATATTATTTTAAATATTCTAAACTAATAAATAAATAAAATAATGCATTTTTTGAACTTTATACATATTCATTAAATTTTCAACAAAAACATATTGTTCAAAATTATAAATACTACAATTATTTGATAATCAATTCATATTTCTAACATCACTTACTAGTTAAGTTTCTAATTTATCCTTCATCCTATTTTTGTTCATCAACCTTGTATTAAATTGGACACAAATTAGATTGTTCATCTTTGTGGTGAATGGCAAATTCAAGAATGTTGGTGAGTTGGGGTGGTCGTTGACCTTTTGATCGTTGACTGTCAATAGTCAACGGTCGCAATAACCAAGTCGTTTATTAATATTTAATTAAATAATACTAAAAATTCTT